GCTACTCCCATTACTGTTCCCGAGGTGTTTATTGGTCCTGGATTCTGTGTGCGGAGGGTTCTCATCTACACCAATGTTCATGCTCCGGTCTAGCTGGTTTTGTAAGGCAGAACTGGGTCACGATAGTGGAGGTGAGGAAGCATAAAAGAACTAGAAGAATGTTGTGTGCTTCGCTGGTGCTATACTGCACCCAAGCTGACTCGTTCCTTCCTTGTGACCCTTCGGTGAAGGGTGTCCAATTGTCTACAGATGGATGCTGGGTCTCCACTCCCACCCTCCTTGTTCAAATTGATATGATTGTTTTGGCTCTTCCAGTGCCTGATACCTGATCCCTTTAACACCTCATGATCACATAGGCTTGGGTGCTTTTTCCATGCAAAATCCCTGGATCTTTTATCAACATTTTCTTTGTAAACAATTGCTACCAATTTCTCAAAACATGATTTAGTGTGCTTGGCTGCTAATTACCAGGTCAGCAGTTCGAAACCACCAGCCACTCTGGGAGAAAGCCTTGGCTTTCTCCTCCCATAAAGAGTTACAGTCTTGGAAACCCACAGGGTCAGTTATACCCTGTCCTATAGTGGTCTCTATGAGTCAGCACCGACATGATGGCAGTGAGTTTTTTCCCTCCCATTAGATCCCTGGTGGTATAGTGGGTTACATGTTGAGCTGCTATCCACATGGTCAGCATTTTGAACCCATAGAATCCACCAGCGGTCTCAGCAGGAGAAAGATAAGCTTTCTACTCCTGTAAAGAGTTACAGTCTCAGAAACCCACCAAAGCAATTCTACCCTGTTGTAAAGGACCATTATGAGTTGGAATCACTGGAGGGCAATGAGTTTTTTAGTCCCCTCCATTGACCATGGATGATACACACAAATAACTTGCTTGGATGCTAACCAGAGGGTGGAGTGTTTGAATGGACCAAACAGAGAAAACTCTGGCAGTCTACTTGTGAAAAAGTAGCCTTTGAATACCTTAGGGAACATGAAGCAAAGTTCGACCCTGATCGCCATTAGTTCAAGTTGACTTTACAGCAACTGGTTTTCAGGATTTTCCATCCCCTAACTTGGCTTTACTTTCTGTCTCTCTTCCAAGGTATACTTTTTGCACATGTAAAATGGTAATTTCAACAAGTGATCTAAAATTGATGGCATAGGATGCCTGGTGGAGCTTGACCAAGGGCAATGTAGCCGAGAGGAATTACTGAAACCCAAATGAAGGCTGAACATGATAATGGGACAGGAGGAAAGGAAAAGGAAATAGAGGAAAGAACTAGGAGGCAAAGGACATTTATAGAGGTCTAAATACATGTA